AATATTTTTATTCCCCTTGGCCGCGTTGTATCGTTCACTCGAACGCGCTCTCTCCCTCTCTCTTTCCCACACACACACACACTCACTCACTCTCAGTCGCGCACACACTCACATACACTATAGATGCTCTCATCCACCCATATAACCAACCAAATTGAATGGATGTTACAGTTAATGCTCGCCTATTCAATATAGCCTAATAAAATTTCCTGTAGTCTGAGCTTAACTAAAGCGAAGGGTCAATAAAGTTTACACTTCACATATTCCAATCGAACATCTTATGAATTGCATGTGTGTGGGCATTTGGGCACGTTTTAGTTTCGAAAAAAAAGGCCTCGTTCAGCACCATTTTCGTTGGTTTTGCTTTTGTGCCGCCGTAGCGAAAATTAAAGTTGCGCGCAGAGAAACACAACGATGACTGAAAACAAAATCATGATATGACTCACGTCATAATTGTATTTGGTTGCAAACATACTCGGAACATCTGAGAGTGTTTACACTCGCCGAATCACTCGTTCAATCGTTGAATGAATGAATGTGAGGCAAATGGCATGAGAGTAGGTGTTGTTTTTATGCGGAGCGCGCCTCGATCATGTTTTGGTTATGCGTAATTCTCTTCAATAACGTCAATTCCCTGGTGAAACTTGAATCATCGATGCTATTTTCAATTCGATTATAAACTAACCGATTCTCGATACATGCTCAATTACAATGGGCTCAATTGTATTTTTCTGTGCCACACTTTCTTCCGACTCAATAACAATCGTACAAAATATAGATACAAAAAAAGTCTTATTAATTTCAAGAAAGCAAATCTTTGACATTTTATTTCATTTCTTAATCGCTATTGTTACTTCCCATTCGAGAATTCTTGCTTCTTCGATTGTTTTGTTTTGCAGAAAATATAGTAGTTTGTATTCAATTGATTAATGACCGCGATAAGAACGTGCAAAATGACAACAAAAAAATGTGGTGAATTTCTAGTCGTTAAAGATTGGTTTGCCATAAGATTTTTGTTCGCTTGAATAGTGTCAAACAGAAAAATCTGACAAAAACATTTCCTCGGCTTTTCGTTGTTATCGTTGTTTTTTATTGTCTCTCTGTGTCCCGCCCTCTCTTTTTCGCACACATGTTTGACAATAATGCGATTTTAACAAGCATTCGTAACTAATTTATATATCTTATCTTATCAACAACATTCTCTATGGCAGCAGTATGTTATTGAAGAAAAAAAGTTAACCAAAAGATAAGCACTGGTTTAGTTTTCCGTTCGATATTTGCTTCTTTTTTATTCGTTTGGCATTTCTCATTTGAATAATGAAACTATTTAAATGTTTGAATTTATCAGCATGGAGTTGACTTGTTCGATCACACCATTCTTCTGTTCGCATTCTTTTATTTTATTTCTTTTCGTTCCATTTGTCACACGTATTACAATTAGCATTGACACTTTGATAAAAATGTAAAACGAGTTTTTAGATGGGTTTTTTTCGTTTCAATTTTTTTTTCTTGTTTAATTGAACATGTTCTAATTTCCGATATCAACTGACGGTAATTAACTGAATTCGAAATGATTGCAACGGTGCTTTTTTCTCCTTTCAAACCGATAGCATTTTAAAGTAATAGTTTTTTTTTGCTAAATTCAATTTGCTTTACTGTTTTTATCGAGGGCAAAAGATTACATGAGCAGCAAGAAAAAAAAAATGTTGGAAAATTTCAAACGAAGTAAATAATTCAATCAAGCAACTGATATTCTCACCGACAATTTTTCTTCAGTTCTTTTTCATTCACAGCATAATTGCCTTGTAATTTCACATATAAAATGTGTGTGTGTGTGTGTGTGTGTGTTGGTGTAGAGCGACGTACCGTCACTAGTTAATAGGTTGTGTATGTTTTTCCCTCTTGCCATCTCTGTTTGTCTGCCTTTTGGCTGTTGTTATTGTTTTTGTCATTCGCCGAACATTTTCATTCTCTCTTGCTCACTTCGCAGAATACTTCGATTTAAATTAATTGACTTGTAGCCGTTTATGTCACTTCACAGTTCGCTCGCAGTTGACACAAGTTACATTTGAGCGAGCGTGAATTCTTGATTGCGCCACCGTATAAACCGTAGGCACATATCAAGCCAATACGTATGTTACTCACAACGAATGTATAAAAACAACAACAACGACGCTGCCGTCACCGAAACGACGAAGATAGAGGATGAACAGAGAAAATCATGACAAAAAAAATGCCACGAAGCGGCGGCATTCACAGCGGATACGAGAATTTATAAAAAAAGAAACATCTACACTCATTTTTCATGTTGATTTTAAAGCAAACGATGGACAAACGAGAAAAACAAAGAGAGAGCGAGACGAAAAAAAAGAAATCACTTACTTTTAGTTTAATATCGTTTGTGTGTTCGATATGTCGTTTGCGGACGTTAAGATATCATATATTGAATGCTTTTGAACTGTATGCGTTGCTGGCCGTATAATATACATATGAATAAAATTCAAGCAAATAAACAATAGAAAAACACAAATGAAAATGAATGAGAAATGAGCGGGAGAGAAAGAGAAAAAAGGCGAACTCCAAACCGTGCCGTAATTATTTAATGTTAAAAATGATAATTTCAATTTAAACCAGTTTGAATGGTGCGTCTTTTTTTCCCTCTGTTCGTTTTGAGTGTACACAATCTGTCCAGCAATTGTGCGTGTACGTGAACACGCGTTTTGCGGCCTGCACACTGTTTATGGTTAAAACATATCTAGAGAATTACTTTATCGAATTTATGGTGTGGTTCGTGTTGGCGCGAGTATGTTTCTTTTTTTCCAACATCGTGAATACTTTTGGTTTAAGTTTCAGCTTTGCGGGCACTTTGTTGCCCCTTGCACTTTTCATTTGTCTACTTGCCGTTTAAAAGTGACTTTAAAATTGTTTCGTCTTTTCTTTGTACAAACATTTACTTTATTCTCATTGTCGCCTTCTCTTTTGCGTGCAAATGCTGCCATTTAATTATCCGCACAATGAACTTTAGTAAGTTTTTTTTTCTCTTCATGCCATCGTTAAATGTTAGAAATATACTTATGGAATTATATTTAAAAAAATGTTTCTTTTCAAATCAAATTCCATTCGAATTGTAAATTTAATGCATTGCATATAGATATAACAGACTTTCTGTAGTCAATGCGTCACATTCAGTAAATAAATTGATGAATATATAATTGACTCACAGAAAAAATGTCATATCAAATAACAACACATCGGGACTCAAATAACAAGACTCGGGATATGATATGACTCATTACCAATGATGGAATTTTGGTTTTTAACGAATTGAAATGTCATAAGTGACGCTTTTACAAAACCAAACAATTTTCGGGAATATGATAATTGGCTGTGGTACAAATGGGAAAATTTCACTATCGACACCGATAATAAACATGTGTTATAACTTCATCACGCTGTTAAACGGACTGGAAGTAGATAAACGATAGAATCGATGCATTTCGTCTTCTCTTTCATCTTTCAAAACGACGTTTCATCGTCGGCAAACTTTTTTTTTATCGAAGGGTTCTGTTTGTTAAGTTTTATCTCATTTCTCTTCAATTTCGTTTATCTGTCTGCTGCATCAGTTTGTCGAATTGGACCTGAGCAATTTACAAATATTGATGTGAAGCGAGCAATGAAAAGAAATACATTTTTATATATGCTTGAGAAATCGGTGATTCAGACACTGTACAACTCTCGGATAATCTTGGTCTGTTTTTTATTACATTTTTCATACGTTTTATGTCCTTTGCCGATTTTTTTTTTTCATTCTTCTTCTACTTCTTTATTTTGTCTCTCTTCATCCATTTTACATTCTTCTGTTGGCCATCAATTTAAATTATATTGATTCGCGTTCTGTCTCTTTGCTCACATATTATCACATTTCGTCATAATTTTTGTTCTCGGACTTGTTTCGTTGCGTGAAATTTTGTGTGTATTCATTCCAGTCTCATAACTGGCAATCTCTTGTTCGTTCATGTACAATTTCGAATGGTTTGTCCGTCGAACGTAATGACGCACACGAACAATAAGAGAGAAAGAGAAGAAAATGGAAAGAAACAATATCGTACCGTCGAGAAGCCGAATAAAATAACAACAAAAATAATTTCAAACAAAGAGAAGAAAAAACGGTGCATCTCACCATCAAGGTGGTCTCTCTTCACTTAACGTTTAATCGTATCGAGTGTCTGTTGTGTCGAACGTTGTCTTCTATTCCGTTTCTCTGGCTTTTCGGCTCTGATTTTTCTACAATTCTTTGATTTTTTTGTTCATGTGATCGTGTGTATATGTGTCTGTGTCTGCGTTAAAATGGTAAATTCTCAGTTTCTCGCATTGCCATGTACTAATGTGCTGCTTGTTTGTGCACTTCTTTTATTTTATACGGATTTTTTTCTCTTGTCTTTTCTTTCTTTCTCTTGATTTCGTTTAAATTCAGCGATGGTCTTGATTTTTTGTTTCGGTGAAAACAAAACGAGAAAGAAAAAAAAAACAAACAGTTTATTATTTTAGTTTTTATTGTTATATCGTATAATTACCGGTGTGCCGCAAAGCATCAATCGCTCACACAACGCAGATACGAATCAAAATGAAATTGTTTGTGGAAGTTCACCTTTTATTTCATGTCTTGCCGCTCACATCGCGGCCCAATTGCCATGCATAGCTTAAGAAATACTGAACACTGTCCGCATTCGGATATAAAGAAGAAGAAGAAACATTTTGTTTCTTATACAAATTACGGTTATCGAGTGCGGTAATTTCCGTGGAAAACGTTGATTCAGTCACTTAACCATTTTGATTGATTATCTCATTGAATTTCCATGCAAAATTCAGTGTTTATCATATTATCGAAAAAAATCATTGTAATACAAGCCATTTGTTATAATAATAACCTAATCATAATTACTTGTTACCAAGCATAATTCATTAATTTTCTGATTTGATTTTTATCCGTTTCGTTACAGATCTGAAATCACAAATACCCAACACGATGACTTCTTCAGTTCGTACAGTACACATCATGAATCTCTTCTGGACAACCATTCAAATGACATGCTGTCAAATCAATCGTTTTCACATAATCACGATATGCTTCATCCGATGGCACAAAACAATCAACAAACGAATTCAATGTCAGACCCTCTATCAAGTTACTCATCGCACACAACGACCAACAGCTCCTGTTCACGTTCATCGCGATGCGTTGACACCGATCTCGAGACATTGGATCGTGAATTGAATGCCCTGGACGCCTCAATGCCATTGGTTGATCCGGAAATCACACAAGGTGCTGAACAATTAGAAAAGGCTATTTCACGCAAACGATCACGATCCGAAGAGGATAATGATCGATTGGTACGCGAAGCACTCTCAACATTTTCACATTACCTGCCAAGTCCGCGTTTGCTATCTGGCATAGATGATTGTCCGTTGCTAATGCCATCGGATTCAAAACGCTACAAAACCGACTCATCAGCATCCAGTCTCACCAATGCCGAGCATCTGCTTGATTTTGAATTTGATCACAATCACAATCAAAACCAAAAAGATTTCGAAGTCATTATGGATGCGCTACGATTGGGCGGCACATCACCATCAAGCAACAATTCATGCAACGACTCATGCGGCCAAGCAGCCATGCTAAGCGAAAATGGTGGTGTTTTTCACAATTTAGTCGCATCGCTAGAAACATGAAATTCGGACTTTGATCATAGTTCACAAAGGAATCAAGCTGGCAAAAAAATTTCACCAATTTTTTTCGCCTAATCCGAATACATCCGAACACATCTTACACATATATATATATATATATTCCTTATAGGCTGATAAACGGACGATTCAAGCATGGCAAATGAAATGAAAAATGAAGAAAAAAAAATAATGATTCAGATCAGATGAAATTATATTTACCTAATTTATATAGAATCACACACATACATACATATATAAACTATATATTTAAACAAAAAAATCTAAAATGTGCATAGCGATACGTAATTATAAGACAGAGAAACAGTTAACGTTCAACCGAACAGCTTAAAATTTACACAACATTCATTTGAACAAAAATAACACAGACACCACAAAATTATGGCAAAATTCGTTTTAAATAGAATTTTTTTAGAGTTTTTACGTCTAAGATGTATGGAATATATGCATTGGAATTTAATTTTTTGTACAGAAATGCTATTTGGTGTGGCAAACGATATAATGTTGATTGAAACAATCCACATTTAAAATTAAAAAAAAAAAACGGTATTCACAGATGAATTAAAACGAAATGTTCACACATACACACACACACACAAGTAACAAACAAAAAACATAAATAAATACGATCGGGAACATCATGAACCAAGTTACTCAAAAGCTTAGAAGTTAATAGAGAGTTTTTACTAAATTTATAGGCAATTATTATGTTATAACAGACAAGTAACAGATAAAAAGAAACAATGAAAATGAAGCAAAACGAGGTGTTATTAATTAGAGATATTTTTAAAATTAATATATTTACCCAAAACAAAATGAAGATGAAAAAAAAACTCAAACGAAACAAAAAAAAATCATTTCAATAAATCGATAGGTTTAACTTGCTAAAGCAAGATGATGATGAATAAGAAGAATATGTATCGCAATACAAACGGCAATTATCCAAAGTGCTTAAACATGAAGAAAGTAAAGCTAAAATCAATGGCAAGATGACTAATAATACAAAGTGTAATCTTAATCCTAAAACAGAATTTTTACCATAGTAATTCTCCTTTCGTTTATCATTTGGTGGTTTTTTTTTCATCAAACCTGAAAGTCGAAAAATGCTTTGTAATATTAATTGTTTTTATTTTACCCTCGAATCAAAAATTTTAGTTACGTAAACACTCATCAATCGCAATCATTTCCATGACCATCAAAGTTTTATAGATGTTTTTATTAGATCCATTCAATTCCGTCGCAAAGAACAAACAAAAAAGAACCTACGGTTTCTCAATTTTATTAGACAGACACATAAAAGGTCAATTTCCTCCAAATTGCATACTCTGCAGCTCTTCTAAATATATATGTACATGAATTGCAAAGCATATTCAACCCAAACTTCCAACTGAGTCTCTTTTCCATATATTTCGCCTTTTTTAATTTGTATTTTTTAGACGAACTTTTGCCAAAAGATCTTTATATCTATTTGCTTTTTAAGTAAATTATTATTTTTATTTTTCATTTCGCTGTTCTCTCGTTTGTTTGAGTATAATATCGATATTTTTTTTTGTTTGTTTGAAGCTAAAGTCTGTTAGTCAAATTTTTCTAATGTTTTTTTTATAATTTGAGAAGACTCCTAATTTAATTATTTATGAACACCATATTTCATTTTTTAACAAGGAACACTAAGAAAGAAAGTTGATGGAAAACCATCGTCTTCTCGGTATGAACATTTATACTATACACATGGATATTCATCAATTCTAATATGTAAACTATAAATTCATTATGGCGATATATTACTATTTAATGAATGTTTCCATTTTTTTTTAAATTAATAATCTATTCAAATGTGTATATTATTACACGCAAAACGAAAAATTGCGAGAAAAAAAAATGTGTAATGTACATTTAACGGTTAAGTGACAAATGCTATATAGAATAGGAAAAGACAGATGAATGTAAGAGACAACGGTTGTGTATGAAGGTTGAATTAAAACTATGAACACAAGCTAAAATAGATATCCCGAAGAGAACAAAATCACCTTCAATACCACATGATAGAAAAATACATCGCGTCACATGAAATCAAACAGAGAAAAAAAAACGCAAACATTCGTTGTCGTGTATATAATGTGCAAGAAATATGGATGAAATGCTAAAATATATTTCAACAACAACAAAACTGTATTATATTACTTCTATACGATACTATTACTATTAATTATTCTATTATCTTGAAAATTACCTTATGTGAAATATGAAGAAATCAAATAAACACAAATGCATAATAAATCAAACATTTAATTATTATAAACAAAAAAAGAAGCAAATGGATTGAACGACTTACACACACTTTCATACACACACACACTCACTCATACGGGATAATTTATGCTATATATTGAACGGAAAAATAAAACAAACATCAGAATAAAAATTGGCCTGACATTTGGGGCGCCGTTGTGAGTGAAACATATTTCCACTCTTTTCACAGTTCCAAAACTGTAAACCAATTTTCTGACAACTGTTTACTTATCGATCACGAACAGAGCGAACGCAAAAAAGAGACCATTTAAGCCAAAATTGGTTGGCATTCGATGTTCTCATTTGGTTGCTACTACTGCTGCTGCTGTCGCTGGTACTGTTTTTGTTGCAAAGCTTCTCGTCTGTATCTTTTTCTTTTTCTAGAAAATCTGGAGCGAAATCGAACAATTGCACGCTTGCAATTTCAAACATCTGTCTCTGGCTCGAGTGCGCTTTGGGGCTCGTGTTCCATTTGCTCTAAACGCGTGCACCTCGCTTCTTTCTTCAATGTACTTGCAGCACCTGACTACTGTCGTGTGTACACGACTCAGCCATGTTCTATACACTACCATGGTGAAATCCGAATGGATGCGATACTTTTCACATATGTACATTTCTGTTGAAGTCAATGCGATCCAAAACAAAGACAGCGAAATAAAAGAAAAATACATACACACACAATAAATGGCAAACGCATTAAAACGCTATTTTATTTGTTAATCCACATTTTTCTTGTTTCAATGCTTTGTACGCGCTCACTTTGTGCTTTTGTAAACGTCACTTTTCCTTCACAGTTCGGATTACATACCAGTAGTAATGCAAAACTTTTATGAATTACACATTCGCACACATCAGCATACATTCACATTCTTTGTGCACACATACAAGGCAAAAGGTAGACAGAGTAAGAAAGAGGGAGAGAGAGAGATAAAGACGATCGACACGTGAACCTAATTGAATGTGCCACTACTAATCGACTAAAATAATAATAAAATATATAAACAACCAAGCTAACGGTATGAGCATACGTCTAACGAAGACGTCAAAAGAAGAAAAAAAATGATTGTGGTAACGCGAAAAATGCACACAACAAGAAGAAAAAAAAAACTTTCTATTTTTTTAAGGTTTTGGTATAACTAATTTTCGTTTCCATGTGCATTCATTCACAACGAACTTCGAGTCATTGCTCATTTAACTTTTATTCTTTGGGTGTTTTCTCGTTCATTTGATGGATTTGCGTTGTTAAGAAATCACGCCAAAGCACATACATGACATACAATAGAGATAAAGTTGCAACGATGATTTACATGGCGATAGTTTGGTGCATTGACATCCGGACCTGTGCTCATCTCTCGTATAGCCAATGTTTGTATTGTGCCGTTGTGTACGCTCACCCATCGTATGCCATTTTCCATTAGCCTCATTCAAAAGGTAACGTCAACCATGTTCTACAGCTTCACAATGGCATCTTTTCATTTTAATCAAGGAAAACCACAGACATTTTAAATCAAGGAAAAACATTTCGATTTCACACATTCTCAACGCTCAATGCAATTGTACATTGTGTATGCCAAAGATTTTTTTCGTACGTGAATATACTTCGGATGAAAACTTTTAAAAACTTGTTATACCATCTCATGATTGCGTGAACACTCAGTGAACCAAAAAAAAAAAAGCACGAAGCTCGTCTTTGATTGCGATGAAAAAAAGTATTGTTGATTTGTTTGAGTTTGATCTTGGCTGAGAAATCAATATATGTACACAATTGCATAAAGTTCCCATTTTCGGATTTTGCACTTCTTTCATAGTCAATAGCAAATTATGCTGCGAAAGTGATTATATTATAAATTATACCGAAGAAAGCCTAAAAAAGGTGAATTTTGAATTTATTTTTATTCAATGAAATGGACCGGAAAGACATATTGTTTGTGCATATAAGGCGGAGGCCGTACACAATTTTCTGCACAAAATTATCCAATTTGAAAACAATTGCATATAGACATAGTTATATTTACAACGACCTGAGCGCAAATAAAACGGATTAGTGTGTAATTGGTCCGAAACTATGAAAACACACTTTCACTCACTTCGTAGCTCGTGTACATCGATCGCACTCGCACGCTTCCAACGGCTTTGTGTGCGCCGTTCACAGTTGAGCGATGCTCTCTTCTCTCCGAATGTTCACTTCGAAGCGAAACAAACCATAAGTAAATTAGCTTCTCGAATGATTGAACTTGGTTTTGTACACTCCAGAGAAAAAAAAATATATTGTTCAAATGAAAGCGAATGAAAGATTAGAATTACGAGCGCTAAACTGAACAACAAATATCGAAATGGAAATTCAACTTGAAAATCAATTAACCATCATTTTATTCGTGAATAAAATAGCAACAGTTGAAAAGAATGGTATGAGAGCGAGAGAGCGAGAAAGAGATAGACAGAGAGAATAAACGACCAAAACACATGTAAAAAAATCCAACCACCTTCGCTACAGCAAACACATATCGACACATACAATGTACATAGCGAAACTGAAACCATGATACAATCTAATATCGAACGTTCGTATCAAGCGAAAGACAAAGCATTGAACGAAATTAATTTGGCGGATTTCTCGTACACAGCTCGACACACGAAGCGAATGAAAATAAATCAATTCACTTTGAAACAAAGACAATAGCTGAGAGCGGCGGCGGTGACGGTGACGGTGACGATAAGGAAGAAAGTTATTGAGATTATCATTACATAATATGGTTTTACTATAAAAGAGTGGAAACCGTGTATTCAACATGAAAACTTGAATTGATGGAAAGAAAGGGAAAATAATCGATAAAATGGAACGATCAATCAAATATTTATTAACTTTCATTAGTACGATTTTATAGAATTTCCATCGGTTCAAGATGCACACACACACGATATTCTGCTTTGCATTTTGTAATAATAATGGACAATGATCCGTCAGTGAACCAAGTGAATAGAGCAACAACACAAAACGCCAATAGTTCAGCTACTTATAGTAATTAGTTTTGTAAAAAAAAACCATACCAAGTAATTATACACCTCGATAGTTGGATAAATAATCGATTAGCATATGATTTACATGAATTGCACTGAAAGAAAAAACAAAAAATATATATATTTCCAACACGTGCGAAATGATTACAATTAATTGATCCAAAGTTTTTTGTTTTTAAAATGGTTTCAATAGGAGTATTTTGTTCGGTACATATAGTTGTTACAATATCTTTTTGTTTTGGATATGG